CTGTTGCGTGCGCTCCAGCTGCGGCGGGATGCGGAACGTGGCCGCCAGCGCGCCGCCACCATCTCGAGTTCGGCATCCTGAGGAGCTCGGCGTCGGGCGAGAACGATGATGACGAGGAGGAAAATGCCACCCTGTCGCCACGCAGCACCAGCAGCCGGCTGGCTGACATGTGGGTCCCACCTGATTACTCAGCCATTCAACGGGTCAAAGATGTCACGTGGGACAAAACCGTCTCCGAAACCGCTTGGGGAGTCAATTTGCAACGGTTTTGGCAGTTGGGGGATGGATTATACCCGGTTTTACGGTTGAGGGATGCGATTTAACCAAGCGCAAGAGATGAGGGAGTAAAATGGACTTATTCCGCTATAGAAACACAACCTGGGCTAGCTCGTTCGTTGACAAGGCCACGACTAAAGCCGAGGCCCATGATGGCCCACGCAACAGGAAAATCAATCTGGACCGTCCGTGCGCGCGTCGCCGTGAGCGTGAGCCTCACGAGCCGTCGGATATAGGGAACAAACCTAGCGTTTCCGTTCTCCATCGCCTCCTTCCCCCTCGGCTCTTCTCTCGTGTTCTAGGGCTCTTGCGTTGTCGGTCGCTTCCTCTTGCATGATAATGATCTTCTGATTGGATTGCGTCTTTCTTTCTTTTGTTGTAATGCTGCTATTTCTAGCGGGTTGGATTTGATTTTTTTTCCCTCACTTTCAAATCTCTCTTTTTTTCTTTCTCTGTTTGTTTTGCGGGTGTTTGTGGATTGGTTTGGCTGGAAGGAAGGTGATGCAGATGAGGAGACGCAAGATTTAATGGGTAATTTGCGTCTGAGGCATCTCTGTGATGTCACACCCTTTTTCACCTTGAAGATATGATGCATCTAAAAATCTTCTGCCTCGTTATTAATTTTCCTGAATTACGCTTTGCTTTTTAAAATTTTGTTCTTTTTCTTCGGTGAGAAAAAAAAACCTTTCTAGATGCAGTTAGGGGGTTGGATGATATGATGATCAAATTGTTTCCCTATTGGTTTGATTGGCCGCTATGATGGCCTCAAATTGTATTAGCTCTATCTGATCATCTTCCCCCACATCCACATTTTTTGTGTTGTTTTTCCGTCTCCTGTCTTCTCGTCTCTTAGATCCTTGTATTTGTTGAAAAACTTTTTTAGATACTTTTAGTTCATTCCAATTTCTTCTTTTAGGTCCTTCTAATTGCTGATTTTAAATCCTTTTTGTGTTTCAAATGCCGCTCAATATCGCGCGAATCTTTTAATAACGTCGTATTGGTTCAAGTAAAATTGCTTAAGTTGAAATGACAGCATCCACTTATCTAGAAGTACTTACCTCATAAAAAACTCAATTCTGACGTCCGTTCTGAAAATGATCTCATAAAAAAACTAGTTCTGAGAATAAATCTGCATCTTTATGATGGTAAAACTGAACAAAATGTAAATTTATTCTTAGGATCTGATTCCGTTTGGACAGAGAGTCTAATTGACTTAAGCAATTTTTATATAAGAAAGGAAAAATAATCTGAATTTGAATTAGACTGCGAAGGAAATTATATCTTTTACTTTCTCTATTCTAAAATATAAGGCACGCCTTATATTATGAAACGACTTTAAAAATTAGTTGCGCCCTATATTTGTATGTGCTCCCAATTCGTATAAAAAGTCGTATAATAAGAAAATTCGTATGTGCTCCCAATTTGTTGATCACTCAGCTTGCTGCTTGAGATGTAAGCTGGGCACAAGACAAAATTGATTGGTTTTACAACCCTATAATCTCAGTCTTATACAATAATCTCAGTCTTAACCTTTTCTGTCTACCCTTTGAAAATTATATAAATATTATTTATTTTATGACTGGTTTTATCTTAAAAAACTAGAATCCTAATTTATACTTTTACATATTTATACTAAATTTTAATAAAACGTGAAACATTATAAAAAAATTTGGATGAGGGAAAATTCTGATGAGGAGGGTTTATTGGGCCAGCTGATAGCCTGATACGAGGACTACATTCTTTTTGAACGACTGAGGACTACATTCATAACTGCGACGATGTATGGTGTTGATGGGTCGGTCGTCGGCGCAGGTGCATAACACTTGGAAAATTGGACGCGACTACAGGCAGCGCAGCGAATGCACTCGTTAGTGCTAACCAGTGACCACTCTCTTTTACCCAAAATAATATTCAATCCACAAAATTTATACCTATTTCACATTTAAGTTTTTCTAAATAAGTTGCTTCTATTCGTAGTCTTTTATGTATTCAAAACTTAAATAAAAAGATAAATTAAATGTTTTATTAGAACCTAATGAGTTATCTGAATACTCATTGGTTGTATGCTTGCATTCACTCTTTAATTTTGTAACATCCAAGATGATTTAATTTCCCCTTGATCTTGGTGATAAAAGTAATATGTGTAACTTTTGTATATGGAGGGAGTACATGTTAGTGCTAACCAGCGACCACTTTTTTTTTTTACCAAAAATAGTACAAGGTGTATTAACTCGTTACCCTTCTTACTAAAAGTAGTAGCACCTGCCACTTGCATCCTTATTATCCATCTAAATTTTAAATAAAATTTTCTCTTAAATTACTTATATGATATACGATCCGATTACACCGTTATGTTAAATCTGTACAACAAGATCTTACATGATTATATTATGATGAAAAAAACATTTATGTTTATAAATTACTTTTATTATATACTAAGTTACTTTTATCATACATATAAATTACTTTTAGATTTGATTAAATTACGTCCTATATATTCATAATGCTATAATGTGATTACTTTTATTATTGTTTTTAGTCAATTTCATAATTTATGCTGATTAATTTAGTTTCTATATAGTTATGTTTGTATCCCTACAACGGACGTCATGACAAGGTTAATTTCTTTTTTTCTTAAGTTACTTCTGTAATATATGTAAATTACTTTTAGACTTTATTGAAATTACTTTTATTTGTCTAAGAAGTAATTTAGTGAAATCTAAAAGTAATTTAGATATATTATAAAAGTAATTTGTAATTTTTCATCGTAATATAATCATGTGAGATCTTATTGTAAAGATTTATTTGTAATAAACATAATGGTGTAATCGCATTGTAGATTGGATAAGTAATTTGAGAGAAAATTTTATAAGAAGGGAAAAAAGACATGGATGCCTAACACTCTGATGCTTATCTCAAATTCTAAATTCTGATGCTTCTTGACTAAATCGGATGGCCGCGCTAGGCGTCGCAGCGTAAGACCAGATCGAGAGGCATCTCGTAGTCTCATTATATATTTTACGTGGAAAATTCCCTGGCAAGGCTCTTCTCTCTCTCTCTCTCTTTTTAAAAAAACTTACTCCCTTCGTCTCAAAAAAAACCTAACCCCGTACTAGGATGGAACACATCCTAGTATATGTCCAGATTCGTTGTACTAGGATGCGTCCCATCCTAGTATGAGGTTGGATTATGTCTGATGCGTAGGTTAGGTTTTTTTTGATGGAGGGAGCACGTGTTTAAAGACAATGTACATGAGTTACATCCCAAAAGGGTAAAGCTGTGAGAACAACTAATTTAAAGAAAAACCCCTGAGTAACATATGCAAAGGACTTAAATAGCTAGATACATAAAAATCAATCAAGTCGTTGCAACGACCACATCGGTAATAGGCGTATCCTTATGCATGGCAACGGCACTAACAGAAAAACCATGGTTAGCTGCAATGAGTAGAGACAAGAGCATACGCAAAGGGACCTCTTGACAAAGGTTAAAGCCACCTTGGTCCATAGGAGAAATTATCAGCTAACTTTTGTAAAGCTATCATTGAAGATGAAGCAGATGATCACCGTAGGTGTGGGAGACTTGTTGGAGATGAGAAACAGCCGGTGCAACCTTTTGTTCGACGTGCTAGAGGATAAGCCCTCAACCCTAAGTTAAACAGCAAAACTCTCAACTAAATGGTGTTGGAGGTGAACCCAACATCCACCGGATTATAAGACGATGTCAACAAGAAGCCGAGATTCGTCATGTCCGTCAAGCAGAGACCAGAAGAGTCGAACACCGAAGACCCTCTAAAGCTACACAAATAATAAAAAGACAAGGCTAGATCTAAACCTATCTTGAGTTGGACCCCCTCCCCCTCCACGCGACAATTGAGAGGCAGTTGGAGAAGGAAGGGAAGGGGCTAGGATTGGAGCTTTTTTTTTTCCACCCGCTTTTTGTGAGGGACTTCATGGTGAAATGATCCTGATGAGTCTCTTCTCACTCCCTATTTCTCCCCGGATTTAACCAGAATAATTAACTATTTGCCATTCTTATGAGTGGTTCTAAAGAATGTCATTAGATCTATATTATAGATGATGAGTAGCAAATTCTTAATTGACGAATCTTAAAAGTGTCAAATAATTAAATGTCCTGTTTAGCCGCCTCCAACAGAACGGAGCGTACATCAATCTCTCGCAACTGATTTCCCTCATTTTGGGGTTCTCCTTTCATGCGTATCACCACCGGCGCGACTTGCTTGTTGTGTTGGTGGGATCACTTCTTTTCCTCTCACCTGTTCTGCATTTTTCTGTAGCACAAAAACATTTAAGATTTTTTTTAAAAAAAACCCTACGCCTCGAAGAAGCCATTACTAGTATTAATTTCTTAACAACAACAATATATATTTTTTAGATAATGGAATTACTGGTATTAATTTCTTAACAACAACGATATATATATGATGTCTTGATTTCCTTTGGACTGACCTGTGTCTCATACAGTACTGTACTAACACTGATTGCACTTAACGTGGATAAGTCAAGATAGAGCAAGATCGGGCGAGAACCTTGAGGCATACATGCTTCTTGTATGTATCCAACGTTGATCCATCCTAGGATTTGGTTTGGATCAAACAAAGCATTTGTAAATTTATCAGACTTCTTATATGTATATATCCAGTTAATTAGTTATCAACTCCGTACGTGTCGTGCAGTAAATAAGGTTTAGGAAATTAGGAGGGAGGGGGATTTGTGCTCTAGCTAGCTGCTAGATGGAAGTGACGCCGCGCCACCATCCATGATGATCCCGAGAGCTGAGTTCAATTACCGCGCGCTGGTCGTCGTCCTCCCCGCCGGCGCCGTCGTCGGCGTCATGCTGTACCTCGCCGGAGCACGCTGGGTGCTCCTGCTCCTCGCCGCGGTCACGGTCCTCCTCTGCCTCCAGCTATCGGCCAGGGACAACGCCGTCGATGGCGCCGCCGCCGCCGCCGCTGCCGCAGGCCCAGCTCAAACAGCTGATCTCCCGCTGCAACAGCCGGCGGCGCTCCCGCGCGAGGCGCCCGCAGAAGGTGATCTGCGTGGGCTTGGCGCGTCGTCGTCGCCGGTCTTCGTCGTCGCCGTCCTGCCGGCGTACGCGTGGAGGAAGAAGGCCGCCGTCGACGGCGACGACGGGGACGGCGAGTGCGCGATCTGCCTCGGCGAGGTGCGGCGAGGGCAGGTGGTGAAGCAGCTGCCGGCGTGCACGCACCTGTTCCACGCGAGGTGCATCGACAAGTGGCTGATCACGTCGCAGGGGACTTGCCCGGTGTGCCGGACTCCGGTGGACTCCGCCGCCGCCGCCCTGCAAGCCGTGAGAGTTGCCGATCAGCCACCGTAGGAATCGTTAGGTCTTTTTTAAGACCCAGGTGCATTTGCACCACATGATGTGCATCAATATTCGAACGTACATCCCGGGACTTCTCGGCTGTCTCCACAAGTGACCAGTGTCTTGTACTATAATTTAGACTTAATCTTGTTGCTTATCTTTAGTGTGAGTTGTAAATTAGTGCGTGCACGAGTTAGCTTGATCAAGAAAGTGTTAGCCTAAAACCGGAAGACGTTGGCCTAACCGAGAGAAAGCCTTAAGCTCAAAAGCCGCTCAAGAGGTGAGAGACTCCCCCCACTTTAAAGTTGGTTTAACTCCCCCTAAATAAGTAATGTGTGACTATTCCTAACAATCTTTCCTGTCATACATTGGTGTCCCTCAGCACTGACCGGCCCCACACACGGGCACATACGAGACTCACACCTGCGGTCACTGACCGACCCAGCATATGGGCACATACGGGCCTCACACCTGCAGTCTACTAGGCTTTGGGCTTACACCATCCTAAGTGTACACAAGCACTAGAGATTGTGGGCTTAGCTATGATACCATTTGTTAGCCCAAAACCGGAAGACGTTGGCCCAACCGGGAGGAAGCCTTGCTACACCCCAAAAGATAGCTCAAGAGGTGAGAGACTCCCCTATTTTTAAGTTGGTTCAACTCCTGCTAAATAAGCAATGCGGGACTATTCCCAACACTATATGTAAACCTAAACATTACTGCGGGAGAATCATATGACAAAAATAGTAGATATCAGTTGTAAAATTTACTTTCTTACTTGCCATATCAATTTTCTTTTATATGCTATCTTTTACCTTGAAATTATGTAGAAGTTATAAATGATTGTGATGTATAGTGTGTTTTTTCATTAAGAAGAGGAGCAATTTGCACTCTTGACAGATTATCTCAAGACTAAAAATAATTAGGATGATATGGCTTCATTAAAAAAAGATATAATTAACATTAACTGCACTTCCGTAGTAGCTATAGGGATGAACTTTATCTAGGATTCCTATTTCTGTGGGTGTACCGAAATACATGAGGTGGGTGATAGGTCTCACAGGGTCACATCTCACATTTGTCCGAGAGTACCAAGACTAGGTGGTGTTTGAATCTCCTGTGAGACTAGGTGGTGTTTGAATCTCCTGAAGATGAAGATAAAAATAAAGATTAACTGTTTCACGCAAAACGAGATGTTAATAGCGTATGATTAATTGAGTTTTAATTATTACAAACTTAAAAAATAGATTAATCTGATATTTTAGAACAACTTTCATATAAAAAGTTTTCGCACGAAACGCACCGTTTAGTAGTTTGAAAAGCGTGCCACGAAAATCTTCATCTTCATCCAACTCATATTAGAGAAATGAACAGGACCTCTGAGAGTCGACTTCCCAAGGCCTCTCTTGTCCCTGACTCCCGAGCTTTAGTGTGCTGTACTACACTTCTACTTCTACATCTTTTGATTTCTGTGATTTTCATGCACTACAATCAAACGATCATTCCTATAGTATTGTTTTTTTTTATCCATGTCACTCTAATCCTATATTTTTAGTATTCCTGTATTTTGAGAATCCTAATTTACAATATAACCATAGAAAAAATTCAAATTCTTGTTTTTTCTGCATTCACTTTTTAATAGAAATGTATATTTTAGTCCTATATTTGTTCACTGCGGTAAAATATGATATTAGGCTCTTACTCGTTTATTATTTGGTATAATTTACATCTCATTGTCAACGAAATTATATTGTTATAAGTTTCATTGTAACTTTTTGATGTGACCATCATGTATATACATGCAATCAAGCATGAGAAATGTAAAACATTGCCAAAGAACGCATCGGGTGAATGGAGGATCTATAAGATATTAAAAAAGTCCAATAAGTTTTGGAATCCAGTTCGGCCTCCGTAGATAGCAATGACTTCAAACGGACTTAGCGTCTTCATGCCAACTCCGATTTGGGTGATCTTAGACTTAATGGAAAGCTTATCTCGCTAGCTTTGAAACGCATCCAGTCTCATGTCCAAATTCCTTCCGAGTCAATGGGAATCGTCAAAACAAGAAAGTGATGTTGCTGAAACCGAACTTGGGCCTTGGGCCTTGTACTAGACTAGACCCATCTTGGAAGTATCTCCCTCCACCTCCACGAATTAGCATTTAACCCTAGATCTATTTTCTTCTATAAATATCTATGCACACCCTCTAAAACAATTAGGTTTTGTTTAGTTAAATTTTGCCAAGTGCCATTCACCTTCTCTAGTCTTCGCACGAATAGTCGGCGACTATAGATTCAGAGTGTGTTGATTTGCCAGGTCGATTAGATCTACCACTTCAATCATAACTATTCCTTTATGCTTAATCACCTATTCGCAATATTTAGATTGCATCTTATCTTGTTCTTGCAGTGTTCTCTCGTTTGCATTGCAGGGATCATCAACCGCGCATCACGGTTGGTGCGGCATCGTTTGTGATGTAGCAATTGCACGGTGTCCTGAACTTGTTCTAATTGGTAGCCACATCGCAAACTTCGCACTCGATCAAAGCGTCATCACTTTTGTCGTTTTGGAATATAAATATATGAGGTATATCCCATAGTTGTTTAAATTCCTGTCTTATTGAAAATTATTGTGAATATGAAAAATATAAGTATATTTAATAATAAAATAAGTCATAATATAATAAATGATATTTACATAGTAACTTTTCAATTAGACGTGGTCAAAATCTACCACGTTAAATATTTATGACCGATGGGAGTAGTTTGCTAGCAGATAGGGACAACCGAGCTCCGGTCATACCCACCAACCGAGCTCCGATCGAAGTTACATATTATTTTGAGTAAATTACATTCATCCTAAACTTGAGAATGTGACGTCTAAGTTCAATAACTTGGTAAGTGGGTGCGCTTTAATACACGAATTTGATAATTTAGTATTTTGGTGCAATTAATAGCTTCGCTAGATATGTGCTATTTTGGTTAATGAGTGCTATGTAAGTTTTTTCACAATGTTAATATGTCATCACATAGTAACCCCGTAGATATAATCCTACAATGTTTGATGTAATCTGTAAGAATATATTGCTCACCTAATTTGCACCATTGATTTAGATATTTTTTCTCCATCTCGAATACCAACTAGAAAATTCCTACGCAATAAAATTTGTTTGACTTTTAATTACTAGAATGACAAAACAAAATATGCTTGTACAAATCTACATAAGTATATTAACAATTGAGTACATATAACCAAAAATACTAAAAGTAATTAACTTTTTACACCACTTCTCAAGTTATTATATCAAAATCACACCCGTCTTTCAAGTAGTTGTACTCATAAGCTTATTTATTAAGTTGTACCCATTTGACAAGTTGTTGTTCTAACATACTCATTTCTCAAGTTTCTACACTAAATTGCACAAACTTGCCAAGTTAATGTACTACAAATACAATTTACTCTATTATTTTCACTAAGTAACACCACATGCTTAATTAACTGTAATTTTTATTTAGTTTTAGACTGCAATTTGAGGCATCCCATTTTCAGATTGGATGATCAACAATATTAAGGGTTTAATTAAGTGGATCGACCCATAAATCCACTTATAAATTAAATAGCGGATAACCTTGCGTACTTCTATTTTATTATTTTTAGATATTTTGAAGAGAGAATTGTCATGAAAGACCACTTTGCCTCTAGACACGCCATAGACAAAACGACATTGTTGTGGTGTACTTGGAAAAGACCACGTTTGTTGCGCGTCAATCGCATAGCAAAACTTGCGCGTCAATCTAGATTTGGTAATTAAGCAATAATCATTCATGTACACAATGTACGAAGTTACACTGGTGGAGAAACCATCTTTCGTCGGTCGGCCGATTTCCACAATAGTCCCGGATGCAATAAAAACCGGGGCTAAAGATGATCTTTAGTCCCGGTTCAAAAGGGAAACGGGCATATTTGATCTTTAGTCCCGGTTTGTGTTACCATCTTTAGTCCCAGTTCGAATGCTGTCAGGACCTGTCAGGCCCCCCCGGGATCTTTAGTCCCGGTTGGTAACACCTTTAGCCCCGGTTGGTGCTACCAACCGGGACTAAAGTCCCACCCCTATATATATGTCTTCTTCCTCCTCCAGCTGCCCGAGCAAGCTTCAAAATTACTTCAAAAAAGAGGGGAGGTCATGCCAAAATTTCTATTGAATTTATTTTGGTGATTACATACAAATCGGAGGTGCCTAAAAGGTTTGCAACTTCATCCTCCAATGTTTTTTTTGTCATACTACATTTGCACCTATGTTTTGCACACTTTTTTTTGTCTCCAAAATTTAGTTGTAAGTTGATGAGAGAGAAAATGTGTGTGGGGAAGAAAGAATATATAGAAATTTAGTTCATTTGCTAAACAAGGTTTTATAAAATAGTTGAGAAGGAAAACTCTAGTGAAAGTTAATCTTAAATAATAGAAAACAAACTAAAATGAAAATTAAAAGAAGTAAAACACATTAAAATTAGTTTAAAACTTTACAAATAGTTTTTAAGAATTATTTGGTGTAATATTTTATGATTTTTGTATGAATAAAGATATCTTATAATTATTGTATGACTGTCATTATTGTAAGAATAATTATTTGTGTGCAGTTTTTTTGACTCATGTAGATGGATCGGCAATGGATGTACGCTGACCGGCGGTCCAAAGAGTTTATTGACGGCGTGCACTATTTTTTGAGAGTGGCCGAAGCTAACAGGCAAAGGGGTTTTATTTGTTGTCCATGCAATAAGTGTAAGAATCAGAAGGAGTATTCTGCATCCAGGACTATTCATTTCCACTTGTTTGAGTCGGGGTTCATGCCAAGCTATAATTGTTGGACATCCCACGGAGAGCAAGGTGTTGAAATGGAAGAAGATGAAGTGGAAGACGACAATATTCCGGACTTTGCTCAGTATGTTGGATTTGAAGGAAATCAAACGGGCGAGGAGGAAATAGCTGCTGATGGTAACGACGTTGCGGATGATCTTGGTCAGATGTTGCAGGACGCCAGGGAGGACTGCGAAAGTGAAAAGGAGGCCCATAAATTGGACAAGATGTTGGAGGACCACAGAACTTCGTTGTACCCAGGTTGCGAGCAGGGGCACAAAAAGTTGGATACCACTCTGGAGTTGTTGCAATGGAAGGCAAAAAATGGGGTTAGTGACAAGGCATTTGGCGATTTATTGAAACTCGTCAAGAACATTCTTCCGGGGGGAAACAAATTGCCCGAGACAACGTACGAGGCTAAGAAGATAGTCTGCCCGTTAGGACTGGAAGTTCATAAGA